AGAGCTTTTGTGTGGCGTAATCAAATATTTATACCGTTAAATCCCACTTATCCTGGTAGGTGCTGTTATAGCATTTTAAGTTGTAAATTAGCATTAATATATTCCTGTCAGTCTACCTGTTAACTTGTGAGATAACACTGTAACACACGAGATCCTATTGGCAAGTTGTCTGGCAGTCTAGCTATCACCTGTTGGTGAAAGTAGATATTTAACATTTATTGGGAGGAACAGTTAACAACACTGTGATTGGTGTCGTAACTTAGATTTCTGATATATACAGAATTACTGTAAAGAACCTGAGAGGTTTTAAAAGGAGAATTGGCCATTTTGGCAGTTGTGAAATCATTTGATATGCTGTGATCGATTTTTATCTACGTGTATGTAAACAGTTGTTAGGTTACTGGCTAAGTGAGGAAGTACACTTTTAAGGAGGTGTTATAATTTCCTACAATACCACCACACATATATACTTGATACAGAATTAGTATTACCATAAAATAATTTTAGCAACACAATTCCCACAGGTGAAATAAATTTGAAATTCATTTGATTGCTTTATATGTAAAACATGTACTACTTAATAGAAAACTTTGATGTACCTGTATACTATGCCCTCTGAATTTATCCCCGCACATTCGAGATACTCTTGTCGAGAATTTGGCGATTTTGGATGACTTGATTGAATAAGTGAATTTGATCTAAACCAAATTTTGTATATCACATTTTAACGTTTTTATTCATTTGTAGGGTACGACTCGGAACCTGCGGTCGTTGGATCGTATGCTTGGTACCTACAGAGATGTAGGTCGGGAACAGAGAGGCGCCGTAGACAGGGTAGGTGTCCTAGTTAGTACTCAATGCTGAGTTTAGTCATTGGAAATGACTTTCATTTACAAAATATATACATCATAAAAAGACGTGATAAGGGAAATATTGAAAAATTAACATTTGTCATTTCTGTTTGAAATTTATTGTGTAGGTTCATACAATTTACACAGTTATAAATGACACATTTAGAACGCTATGGACATATCAGAAGTTCATCGTTAAGATACATTATATTACTACGTTGATGTAAAAACGACAATTTTTGTACCTAATCTATTTAATCTATGGCAGAATACTTTGAGTACATGTTGTCGTGTGGTACATTCATGCATTATTAATTAGCTAATTACATAAATGTGTTACCTGTTCTGTCATCTGGTCACTGACAGGTGTGTCCAGGCATGATGTTTTAACAGTAATACTGATCTACTATTGACATCAAAGGAGCTGTAATATTCAACCTGATACTTGTAGCTTTCATGTTCTGTTACAGTTACATGTTCTGTACATTTTCAACATCAAATCATTATCTACATCCATGAAAGCTTGTTATTATCTACTAGTATTTATGCGGGAAAACTCTTAATAAGATTTGTCTTCCTTCAACCATGATCCAAAGAAGTGCAATGTTATAAAATGTGTCTTGAATTACAGTATTAATGATTGTTTTACCAGTATATGAAAATGTGTAAAATTTGATTGCCCATCACATTAATGTCAGATAACATGTTCTGCATCAGTAAAATACAATTTCAAAAATGAAGATGACATCAGAGCTGACTTCAATATTAATTAATTGATGGTATCCAGGTTTTTCCTATTTCCATAATTATTACTTCCTTTAAGAAAGAAGTGTATTTTGTAATATTTTGATAAAATATGGAAAAAAATTGATAGCCATAATAAAAAAAATGAAAAGTTTTTCAATCAGTAGATTACTATTCAATATTAATACATAATTATAGTACCGAAGGTATATGAAGGAAAGAGGACTATGGTTGACAGTCAGTAGTATATATACATATATAGTGTTTGTGGTAATGTGACGGGTATTTGTCTCCACAGTTACGTGATGACTTAAGGACAACACAGGATGAACTCCACCGAGAGAGGGTGAGGAGCCCGCTACACCACCGGGATTATGGGGTACGTCATGTCAGTCACAGTACCACAGTGACTATTAACACACACACAGGGGAATGTAAGGGTACCTCAGTGTTTGTACACATATGTGGTGGTCCTGAATTGTGTTCTTCTGGTAGAGGGAGCCACTGCATGTAATCCTAACTTTAAGTTACAAGTTATATTACAAGTTCACAAAAAAAACAGGAATTCAGGATGGTTTAACAATGAGAAATCGTAGAAATAAAGCACAAAGTTTTGTACAAAGAGTAGTAAACCAAGCAAGGTAATTACATTGTGGGAGGTTAATCATATAAAATACCAGGGATTCCTACTACAGTAGATTTCTCTTAATATCACTTCCCATTTGTCAGAG